GAACCGGTATCTGCACTTTTCATCAGAAAAGCGACTTTCAACATTATTAATCACTTTCTATAATTATTTAAGCCTTCTCATAATTATTAGGGTCAATTATAGAATTATCTAAATAATCTCATAATTAATTAATTAAATTTCTAAATTACCTATGCGAGTTCTTACATTCACCCCACCTTTTAAGGTTTTTGTCCACAAAATCAGAAACATACCTGTCCCGAAACTTGGGGTATTGCCGTAGAAGCTCATCTTCTCGCTCCCAAGTACACTCCTTAGGAGTTCTTCCTGTCCATTGCACCTTGACCATCAGAATGATCTTGCTCCTCAGCTTCTTCTTGCCGCGATCGAGAATCTTTAGTGGTCCGACGGGAGTCTTTAAGTTCTCCCGAACCTCCACATCATCAGGTTGCACCACGTGCGAAGGATCAGCAACATACTTCCGAAGTTGAGACACGTGAAACACGTTGTTGATGTTGGCCAAGTTCGGAGGCAAGGCAAGCCGGTAGGCAACATGTTCTACCCTACCAAGGATCTGGTATGGCCCTATGAATCTCGGGCTAAGCTTCCTCACTCCGAGTGCCCGACCAACACCGGTGACAAGTGATAGTCTCACAAACACGTGCTCTCCACTGAACTCCAGTGGTCGATGCTTAATATAACACCTCATATTTCTAAATGTATGATTATATATGATAATGTTAATTAAAAAGGAATGATTAGTGAAAATCTTGAGATTAGGGTCAAATTGCATAAGAAGGATAAAATGGTAAATTACCAAACACAGATCCCTAAGCATGAAAAATTGAGTAGAAGACCTCAAATGGTAAAAATAAGGACGTAAATGGATTCAGGACGAAAAATCAAGTGGATAGGCAAGTTTCGGAAAATTTGATGAATAGTGATTTTACCGGTGTAAAATACTGCAGTATAATTGTACCGATAAGCGTGAAAATATGATCAATATTTTTAGGAAATAAAAATATGACGTGAATAAGAAAAATACGTAGGTTATGAATTTGTGGGTTAAATTGAGTGATTTAAGAAAGTTAAAAGACATGTGGGACCCACTTTAAGTGACTTAAATGACTTAAAGGCTTAAGAAATCAGATTTCTATCTCACTCTTTCTCCTCTCTTCTCCCTCACCATCGACCTCTCCTCTATTAAAAGGGTTTGGAAGAGCTTGAATTTCTATCTTGAGTTAGAGACCATTTGAGAGAAAAGTTTGAACACCAAAGTTGTTCCTCTCGTCCTTGGGATCAACTTTCATGTGGATTGTATCTTGTGGGGATCATTGTGTGAGAAGATTTTCTTCCTCCTAGCTTGGACGAATTTGGTGCGGAAGAGGGCATTTATGAGTAGTTTGGGTTGATTCAAGGCTTGGAAATTACTCTTAGAGAGTTTATGAGTCTACTGGTGGTGAGTATTTCAACTCTCATTTGAATTTCGATGAGATCATAAAATTGATGGATATTTGTGAATGTGTTTGGGAGTTATGGTGGTTGGGGGCATTAAATGATGTTGCTTCTTTGGAAATAGATGCTTACAATGGTAAATGATTAAGATTGAGCCATTAATAATTTAAAGTGATATATTTTGTAACTTAGTAAAAATTATGATGGAGTTATGGTCATAGTCATGAATATGTTTGATGAGAATTATATGTAGGTTGTTGGGGAATTTAATGTGGATGTTGAATGAAATTGAAACATGATAGAACAATTGGAAATCCCTTGGTTTGTGACAAGATTCCCATTGGCAATATGGGGATAGTTTGATGGAAATTGGGTTGGAATGTAAGAGTGATTGTGTGTTGTTTGGTTGTTGGTACTTGTGATCAAGTTGTTGATGATCATTGTTGTATGATCATTGTAGGTTACCTCTCACGGATTCAATAGAAGCGGATTGAGTTTGGAGCTAACGTTGGAGAGCATTGCTTTTGGAATTGAGGTAAACCTTTAGAACTTGGGTTTTAATCCCTTGTGTGCTCCACCACACCTAGTGGAAGGTTGTGGTTGGATTTTGTGCTTTTGACATTGTGTGAATATGTATGTTCATGCATTATTGCTTGATTGTGTGATGTGCTTGGAGCATGTTGTGTGATATATCTGTGATCTCTGGCCAGTAGATGTGTGTGGTTTGGACTTCCGTTGGAGATATCCTTTGGGGATTCCGGTCGGATTTTGCCGTGGGGCCAACTCTTGGAGCGGTACCAGGATGATCCAAACGTTGGACTTCTGCTGGATAGGGCTCATGAGGAGTTCAAGTTGGGTTTTTCCATGGGATTGTCTCATCCATGGGAGAGGCACCAGGAAGCTTCCCAGGAGTTATATGATGGGGTCCTTGAACGGAATCCTTATGTGGATGTTCTTGGATTTGTGCCCAGTTGTTTGTGATTTTGTATGTTATGCATTTTACATGATGTTATTGTTTCACATTGAGTGAGCTATGGGGTGGAGTGATCCTCTAGTACCCTTGGTTTACTGAGATATATTTGTATATCTCACCCCGCGTTTGGGGACATCATTTCAGGCTATAGTGAGCATGGAGGAGCTCCGGGCAAGAGGCCCGCTTAGTGGACGAGTTGAAGTTGATCGAGACAAGAAGCATGAGTAGATTGTACCTGATAGATGGACATTTTGAGTTGCATGCCATTTAGAATTGTATAAGTATATTTTGAGGCTACATGATGTATTTTGGAGGACTTAGAGCATGATCATTGTAGTGGTAATTGGTATATGTGAATGGCTAATTGCTTTGATCGTGTTTATTTTGGTAGCTAAGTCTTTTGGCATGTATTTATTTTGAAGAACATGGATGTAATAGGGATATTGATGTATTAAAGGAATGTGAGGTTATGTTTTATCATTTTGACTTGCACAATGAAATGGTGTAGAAGATGTAATTATTGAAACATTGATGTTGTAAGATTGTTAATTAAGTCATATGGTGTGTGGGATTTGATTCCCCAAGAAAGATATATGAAAATATAGATATAGTATTTTGCCCAGTGGAGGGGGCTTAAGCCTGAAAATGGAGGCTTAAGTTCGCTCAGGGGGCTTAAGCGCCCAAGAGGGGGCTTAAGCGCCCTGGTGCACCTGTGAGTGGAGAAACTTACTGCCACAGGGGGCTTAAGCGCCTAAGTTAGGAGCTTAATTGTGCGCAGGGGGCTTAAGTGCCCTGGAGCGCGCTTAAGCGCTCTTGGTGGCCAAAAAATACCATTTCCCTCTGTCTGTGTGCTCTTAAGCGCGTTGGAGCGCGCTTAAGCGCTTTGCTGGCCGAAAAAACATGTTCGAAGAGGGCGCTTAAGCGCTCTGAATGCGCTTAAGCGCGCAACCCGTTTTCAGCATGAACATAAGTTAGTAAAATTGGCATAACTCGAGCTACAAAGCTTCGATTTGAGCTGGAGGGTACAACGAACTTGGTCAGATGCTGCCACTTGTCACCAAGTTCGTTGGACCACTCAGCGAACTATGGGGGTGGTGCCACATGGCATATAGTTCGCTAGGACCCTCAGCAAACTACGTGCATGTGAGACACGTGGCATGCCTTGTTTGCTGCATGTGGCAACGAACTTGTCTAGGGTGTCAACATTAATTGCTACCAAGTTCGCTATCTGGAGTAGCGAACTTGGTGTCCACTAAGAACGTGACATATTAACAGACCGAGTTCGTTACAGTGCCCAGCGAACTTGCTCGCGTGGCGTACCGGGAAATAATACTGTTGGCGTGGCATTTAGGGAAAAAAGTTGGGGAACAGTGGCATTTTGGTCACTGTTCCTTAAATCAATAGTATACTTATTAACATGTAGTGTTTACATCATTTTAAATCTGATGTAATGTTTACGTCATTTTAAATTTTATATAAGGGCTTCTCTTTTCTTTTGTCACATAAGATAGCATCTCTCATATTATAGACACAATAAGTGATGAGGTTCACTATTTTGTTAAAAAAATAAAAAATAGAAAGAGAATAGTATAAATTTCGATGCCTCACAACATGAGAGAATGATTTCCATAAAAGATTGATTTATTTTCTATATAGGAGAATCCTATGGCTCTACATAGACTTAATTTCACAAGAAACAAAGACTTTTTATTTACTTGAAAGACTTTTAGTGAAACTCTGTACACACTTACATAATTAGTTGAATGCATTGATGGGTGTGAGCAATTAATTTCAAAACATTTTTTGTTTGGCCATCCATATATTTATAGGGTTATATACTTCTTTTGTCACTGCAGATGAGAAAAAGTACAGCAATACTTATTTTTATCAGGATATGCGTCCGAATTCTGATGTGTTTTTTTTTTTAGGTCAGGATACGATCCCGTATCCTAATGTTAATAATTTGCTGCAACTTTTCTCATCAGCAGCGAAAGGAGAAACGACGAACCCATATTTATATACATTTCTTCTTTTCTTAGCTAACTTTATACAATTTTATTCATAATAAGTAGGATTGATCTATAAAATTAGCCTGAAAATTTGGGCAACAAAATCGAATTGCGATAAAAGCTCTGATAAGATATAGAAAACAAAATCTCTTTTTAGGTTAAGGTATTTCGTGGAAGGTCAATAAAAAGTTTATATCTTTTAACGCACTCAAGCTCCATTTTTAGAAAGAGTAGAAAGCTGGGCACTGCTCACGCAGAAAACAATCCTCTCATCACTATTATTATTTTTTTTATAAAAAAAAGGAAAGAAAATCCTCTGAAAGAGGCATCAATTCTCTTTGGAGTGGTCCCACATAATTTGGCTGCTCTTGTTAACGAAGCTTCTTGTGAAGTTCTACAGGGCCCCTTATATTCTACTTTATGAGACCATGTAAATAGACTCTTATGTACGCCAAAAAAAAAAGGCTGGTGCGTTACGAATGTTTGGTGTCAGGTTTTCACGGATAAATGTGACAAATTATAGTAACTAATATATTGGCATATATAATTGTTTTCCTATGATGGTATATATACCTGTATTCTCCACTGATACATTCTCACTCACCATGTCTGTCTCCTCAAACCACTCAACTCTTGACTTGTACTGCAGTGAGGCAATAACTAGCGATGTGGTTCACTTGGATTCTGATGCGGGTTTGAATGTTCTATTCGGGGAATCCGATGATGGTGATGAAAGCTATCTCTTGAGCTTATTAGACTCCGAACTTGATCATGTACAGATAAAAACAAAGACACTAGGACAACTTCGCAAAAAAACATGGCTGAGGAATGCTCGAGAAGAAGCCATAAATTGGATCCTAAAGGTGCATTAGTACTCAAATATCCCACGGCTTTCAATTGTAACCAGTTTGTGAATATGAAATTTTTTTTTCATTGTGCAGGTGCATGCATACTACAGTTTTAGACCTGAGACAGCATATCTTTCTATAAATTATCTTGACCGTTTCCTTTTGTCACACACCTTGAAGGTATAACTTGTATTCAAATTGATTTATTTGGTGAATATAAGATGCAATTTTTTTTTTCTCTCCCAAGTCTTGTTTATAGCATGTGGCTTACTTGTGCAGCAAGAAAAAACGTGGCCTCTGCAGCTGTTGTCAGTTGCTTGCCTAGCATTGGCAGCAAAAATGGAAGAAACAAAAGTGCCACTTCTATTGGACCTTCAGATGATAGAGCCCGGGTTTCTGTTTAAGCCTAAAACAGTTCAAAGGATGGAGCTTTTGGTTATGGCCAGTCTCAAGTGGCGATTGCGCATTATAACCCCTTTTGATTTTGCCCATCTTTTCATTTCTAAGCTTTCATGCTCTGCTTCCACATTGGGAGACTTAAATTGTATTGTTTCTCGTGTCTCAGATGTTATTATCAGAACATGTTTAGGTATCAAAACCTCTTCCCGTACCTATTCATTTACTATGTCTTAATAGTTACCAAGTGCTAACGGGAATGAACAATTCACCAGTAATGGATTTCTTAGAGTTTTCGCCGTCCACAATAGCAGCAGCTGCAGTGTTTTGGGTTACCAATCAACATGTTAATATCCAGAAATCAGGCTGCTTCCACAATAATATAAGCATTGTAAGTGTCAATGACGTTGTAGAAGTGGCCAATAGTGATTCAGGGCTTTGATGACCCCGGGTAGTTTTTTTATTTTCCCAGATTTAATCTTTCTTTATTTGATCTTGAATGTAGGAGATGGTGCAGAAATGTTACAACCTTATGAAGTTGAAACAGATCATTCGCCGATCAGAACACTTTTTGCCAAAGACACTACAATTAGTTCCCCCAAGTCCTACTTGTGTGCTTGATCATGCAGCTATGCTAGAGAGCATCGATGCTCACAAGCCCTGACTTCAATCTTGTGATGAATTACTACCCAAGGAAGTTAAAACATTTCTTTCAAATTGTCCATTCCTGATTCATTATAATTTCTTTGAATTGGTGTGATTGTGTGTGAGTCTTCAATAAGGTTCATCATGGAAAATTCCAATTAGAAACGAAGGTAAACTATATTGGAAAATTCTATGATATTATCGAAAATAAATAACAGGTTGTACCTTTTTTTTTTTCCCGAGTGAATTATATTTTTCTCACTAGTAAATAAATTAACTCCTTTTGTGATAAGCTTGCTCCCAACTTGCAAAGTTATCTCACTGATTAAACAATCCTCACAAAGCCTAGTTTCATGTAGAAATCAGAGAAACACATCAGGTTTGTTCAGTTAAAGATAATTTAGCTAGATAAAAGGGAATTAATTATGCTGTCCACTGTGCTGTTATTGAGTGTTGAATGATATTGCAAAATTTTGATAAAGGGTTCAATTGTCAAGTAAATACTCAAACAAAGAAAAATGGTACCACAGAAACATCTTAAACAAATTAGAAATGACTCAAGTTGAATTCTTGGATTTTTCAACCTAAGTAAAGGAGTATTCCGACTTGATAAGAGTCAACATAACAAATTGCACTTGTACCTCAGAATTTGTGTTGATGCATCATGATTCAACAAGGATAAGTTTCAAAAAGAAAAATTTCTCATTTATTGATATCAAATTTGTCGATTACATGAATTTGCTGTTATATTCGGCTTTAGCCAATCCCTAAAAAAGGAAAATAATTTGCCTATGTAACGCCCTGGCCGTTTCAAGAATCAACGACTATCCCCACATACTAACTCAAAACTTTTCAGTGTGCTTTTTCTTCACTCGCACACCCAGGAGGTCACCCATCCCAGAATTGCTCTAAGTCAAGCACGCTTAACTACGGAGTTCCTCCGTTCTAGGCTACCGAAAAGTAGATGCATCTTGTTTGTATAGGTAGTACCAATTAATTCTTATAAGCTATCCCAAACTGTGCAGTCTCACACCTGCACAATCTTTGGAATCCCTCTCTTTCCGGTGTCGATTCAATTCATTCATTCATGTACCCCATCGCTGGAAGCCTGCTAGGAGCCGCTCCTTGTCCATGCCCTTTCGCACCGGCGATTACTCCCGGCCCTCGTCAGCGCCCGGGATGTTACAAACCCACCAGCTTCTACCTGGTTCGTCCTCGAACCACTCCGTACTAGAAGAGAGGCCCTGCTCTGATACCACTTGTAACGCCCTGGCCGCTTCAAGAATCAACGACTATCCCCACATACAAACACAAGACTTTTCAGTGTGCTTTTCCCTCACTCGCACACTTTATGGGAAAACTTCCCAGGAGGTCACCCATCCCAGAATTGCTCTAAGTCAAGCACGCTTAACTACGGAGTTCTTCCGTTCTAGGCTACCGAAAAGTAGATGCATCTTGTTTGTATAGGTAGTACCAATTAATTCTTATAAGCTATCCCAAACTGTGCAGTCTCACACCTGCACAATCTTTGGAATCCCTCTCTTTCCGGTGTCGATTCGATTCATTCATTCATGTACCCCGTCGCTGGAAGCTTGCCAGGAACCGCTCCTTGTCCATGCCCTTTCGCACCGGCGATTACTCCCGACCCTCGTCAGCGCCCGGGATGTTACATACCCACCAGCTTCTACCTGGTTCGTCCTCGAACCACTCCGTACTAGAAGAGAGGCCCTGCTCTGATACCACTGACACGAGCTGTCGAACTCGCGCAAATTAAAAATTAATTCTTTAGGGTTCAGAAAATTTGCAGTAAAGTGGAAACCCTAAGTCGTCTCTCAAGGAAATTGTTTTGGTTAAAATCGCTTATGAGAACAGAAAATTAAAAGGGGGGTTTTGGATTTTGATTCAATAATTAAAAAGGCAGAATATTAATTTGGAATAAAAATTCGTAATTAAAAATAACCAACCTAAGGTTTGGGTTCCATGGACGTCTTTCCTCGGATAAGAAGATATCAGAATCGTGATTGATTTGTCAATCGAATCAGAATCCTTATTTCCAATTGACAACCTTCTCTAAGCGATCGCTTAGCATTTGATCAAAGACGATGCTTCTACTCATACAATCACAGAGTATCATCCCGCTTGATTTAAGGTCATAGGGTCAATCAACCTAATCATCAAATTTGATGATTAATCCCTTTCCATAATCGCAATCGCAAACCTCAGATTGAATATCCACGATCGCACGATATCAATCTGAGTTGGGAAGGGAAACAAAACTGATTTGAAATAAACGCAGATCCTCAAGACCAATCCATGGAATCCATTACCCTTAGGTTGATTAAAAGGTTCTTAGCCTCGCATGGCTAAGGTAAACATAATTGAAATAAAAAGAAGAAGAAGAAGAAAAAAGATGAAGAACACAATTGAATAAAAACTCAGAGAGAACTTCTCTGTTGTAAAAACTGACTACCAAGGGTTTCCTAGAGTCCCCTTTAAATAGCAGTCACGCAGGACGGCTAGGGTTTCATCGCTTCAGCCCAAAAATAAAATAAAAAACCGAATAAAATAAAATGAAACAATAAAACTTGGCTTTGGGCCACTTAAGTAATTGGGTTTTAATTTAAATTACAAGCCCAATAGTCAAACAAAACTTCAGCAAAACGCGTCCAACTTGGTGTCCGAAATCGACCAGCTTCTAGTCCGAATTGGGCTTAGAGATCTGCATAAGAATTGTATCTCTCTGTGTTATCTGAAAAACCCAACAAGAACGGAGTCAATCCGACAACTATGAACCGAGATATGGCCAAAATACAGAAGTAACGTAAAGCTGAAAAATTCTGACGAAAATAAATTAAACTCAATTAAAAACTAAAAACCTAAATTAACTCTAACAATCATTATTTTATTCAAATAAATCCTAAAAATACTAATCAAGAGTAACAAATAAGTATAACAAAATATGTGTTATCAAATTCCCCCACACTTATCTTTTTGCACTCCTGGGCAAAAACTAAAATTGAAAGTAAATACTAAGATCAACCAATCCTTTCTAACAATTACCAAGCATATAGAAAATATACAAAGATCACAAGTCTTCTACAGATAAATCAATCAGGACAGAAATTCCCTAATCTCAAATCACAAGACCTGCTAACTTCAACTGCAACTGCTAACTGCATAAAAATGGTTCCTCACAAGATGCTCTCAATTTTTCTCTCAAGTGTATCAGTTAATTCAGTATATCACTCAAATCAACTCAAGAAAATCATCCTACCATAGGCTTGCTCAAGTTCTACTTCTCCACTGCTCATAACACATGCATGCACAAATCAAGAGGGCTTTATGCAGGGTTGTAATGGGGCTGAGGTAAAGGTATGGATGAATATGGAAGAGAAAGCTAAACACCCCAGAATTTTACAAAGAGCAAAAGTTAAGAACTAAACTAAGAACATAAAACAAAGATACTGAAAAGATAAACACTTTTTTTTCTTTTTTTTTTTTTTTTTTTTTTTTTTTTATTATATAAACATAAATTTTATTTTTTATTTTTTTTTTTTTTTTTTTTTTTTTTTTTTGTTTTTTGTTTTTTTTTTTTTTTGAAGAAGTAAAACCACATAGCAGAAATGAATCAGATAGTCACCCCCCACACTTAAACTTTTGTCCGTCTCGGGCAAACCCCCACACTTAAACACAACATCACAATGAAACCAATGCTCAGTAAAACTCCAGGGTGTGGAATTAATTGGTTTTTCACTTAGGCTTGTAATGCGGCTTAAGAAATAAAAGATATAAAGGCTCAAAGGGGCTCACCAAGGGATAATAATATAAGGGACGGCTATCTGGCTAAAGTGGGTACAGAAAAGAAAGAATGCCTCAATCATATTCATGCATGCAAGTGAAAAATGCAGTTTCAAAAAGAACAAGAGCAAGTTCTAGAGGACAACAATCAAGAGCAGAAACACACAAGAAAGAAAGCATGGCCAGAAGATATGCCATGTATGCGGGCTCAAAACCTCACAAGGGTAAACCAAGTCATGCAATCAACAGCACAGAATCAATCAACAGGTAGTTGTAATCCAAGAATCGAGATCAAAGCCTAACAGATTGTGCTATCAAACACTGTGATCGAAGTCTACTCCATGTACCACTCAATAATTACCAGAAAGAAAAGGAAAATCTCCTATGAAAAATCAAAAACGAAAAGAAAGAAGAAGATGCAAATAACAGAAAGAAAAGAAAATGCAAATAACAGAAAGAAAAGAAAAGAGGGAAGAAAACTCCCCTGAGCTCCCTAAGGAGAATAAACAGCTTCAAGCAGCCTGATCTCTGCTTCCATCTCTGTATCCTCAGGCTGCTGTGGTGTTCCTTCATAGAAGGGCTTCAGACGATGCCCATTCACAGTAAATGTGTTCCCAGTCTGCTTATCACTTAATTCAACTGCTCCATAAGGAAAAATAGCAGTAATAATAAAGGGGCCATCCCATCTTGATCTGAGTTTACCAGGCATAAACTTAAGACGGGAATTGAATAACAGCACACTCTGGCCCACTGCAAATTCTTTCCTCAGGATCTGCTTATCATGGAATGCCTTTGTCTTTTCCTTGTATAGGCGTGAGCTCTCATAGGCATCCAGACGAAGCTCCTCTAACTCTTGCAGCTGTAGTTTCCTTTCTCCACCTGACTGGATTAGGTCCATGTTACACTGTTTCACAGCCCAATATGCCCGATGCTCCAGCTCCACTGGCAGGTGACATGCCTTACCATAAACAAGCCGGTAAGGGGACATTCCAATCGGAGTCTTATAGGCCGTCCTGTATGCCCACAAAGCATCTTCCAACTTCTTGCTCCAATCCTTTCTATTAGCATTGACAGTCTTTTGAAGGATTTGCTTAACCTCTCTGTTTGAAATTTCAGCTTGGCCATTTGTCTGTGGATGGTATGCTGTAGATACTTTGTGGAGGACTCCATATTTCTTAAGTAAGGCCTCCATGCTCCTGTTGCAGAAATGTGAGCCCTGGTCACTGATAATAGCTCGAGGAATACCAAACCTGCAGAAAATATGAGAACGGACAAAATCTACAACAACAGCAGAATCATCAGTTCGGGTGGCTTTCGCCTCAACCCATTTAGAGACATAATCCACAGCTAAGAGTATGTAAGCAAA